GAAGCTGGATATGAGTCAACAGTGTGCTCTTGTTGCCAAGAAGGCTAACGGCATTTTGGGCTGTATAAGTAGGGGCATTGCCAGCAGATTGAGGGACGTGATCGTTCCCCTTTATGCGACATTGGTGAGGCCTCATCTGGAGTACTGTGTCCAGTTTTGGGCCCCACACTACAAGAAGGATGTGGAAATATTGGAAAGAGTCCAGCGGAGGGCAACAAAAATGATTAGGGGTCTGGAGCACATGACTTATGAGGAGAGGCTGAGGGAACTGGGATTGTTTAGTCTGCAGAAGAGAAGAATGAGGGGGGATTTGATAGCTGCTTTCAACTACCTGAGGGGGGGTTCCAAAGAGGATGGAGCTCGGCTATTCTCAGTGGTGGCAGATGACAGAACAAGGAGCAATGGTCTCAAGTTGCAGTGGGGGAGGTCTAGGTTGGATATTAGGAAAAACTATTTCACTAGGAGGGTGGTGAAGCACTGGAATGCTTTACCTAGGGAGGTGGTGGAATCTCCTTCCTTGGAGGTTTTTAAGGCCCGGCTTGACAAAGCCCTGGCTGGGATGATTTAGTTGAGAACTGGTCCTGCTTTGAGCAGGGGGTTGGACTAGATGACCTCCTGAGGTCCCTTCCAACCCTGATATTCTATGATTCTATGATAGTTATAGCTGGGCTGCTATAGCACTTCAGTGTAGCCACTCACCACAGCATTGGGAGTGGTTCTTCCATCACTGTGGTTAGTCCATCTCCCTGACAGGTGGTGTCTACATCAGGGCTTAGAGCAGCATAGTTGCATTGCTCAGAGGGGTGGATTTTTTACACCCTGAGAGATATAGCTATGACGATGTATACTTATTACTGTAGACCTGGCCTAAGACCCTTCCTAGCAGATTTTTTTTTTATCAGGTCCCTGATGGGGATGTCATCTCACCCTCGAGGCCTGGCCTAGTTTATAGTCATGGGTTTACAGGGGATTCGATGCTTCAGCTATTATACAGTCTCTGTGGGAGTATCCCTATTATTCGCTAGGCCCTAGCCACAGCTTTTTATAAGGACAATCCCATGACCCTGAGACTTAAGGCTACTCCATTCTTGTTTCTCACCCTGGCTCTCTAGTGAGTCCAAAAGAGTTCAGACACTTGTTAGAAATGTTACACCTTCAGGCAGCAATATAGCTAGTAATTATCTGCAGGGCAGCCTTTTACCAAAACCAAGAAAGCATTTATTAGTCAACTAGAGAACATCAATTAAGAGTCCACATGGTAAAGCAAAGTTTAAGTCCGAGTATGTATTGGCCAAAGCAATTGCCCTACTGTTCCAGGGCCTCCTGGAGTCTCTTTCAGCCTCTCTGTGTCATGTGTGTCTGTCCTGGGCAGCAGCAAACTTAAGACACACTCTGTTAACACCTGGCCCCTGTGGCTCCAGAAGCAGCTGTGCTGTGGTCATATGTTCAGCTTCCTTGGCGGCCAGCCATTGAAAGTTAATGTTCTGTTGATGGGGCTTCTGTTGACTCTCCTGGAACCTCCATTCACCTGTGTTGATTCCAATCAGTTCTAGGCAGGCTTATGTGATCTACAGCCAACTCACTCCCTTGTCCCCAGGGAGAAATTAACCCCTTCATACTCAGGGGGAAGCAATGCAAAATGATTAAGTTGAGTCACACCTATTGTTCATAAGAATATTCC